ACTGTTTTATCGATTCGAATGAACTTTTACTAATGAAGTATCTGTATCATAATCACCACGTGTTCGGCGCTGGTGTATAAAAATGGCACTTGTTCGTCGTGTTAGTAATAGTTTTGGTTTTGTATTAAATACATTTCATTGTAAATGTATAGTAAACATAAAAAGACTAAAAAGGGAATCTGATATTATGAGATATTCGAATCTTGCTGGTATGCTTTAAGAAAGTAATTTAACAAAATTATTTTTTTGGTGACATAACCTCATGTGCTAAAACAATTTTTAACGATCACATTCTTTTTTCTCTGATTTTATTTTTATATTTATTTTCAACTCGATATTAATTTATTCTTCTTTATTTTTTATTCCAATGACATATAATGACTAATTTAGTTCATATTTTATTTGTTTTTTATTTTATCTATAAAGATCATCTTGCTAATTAAAGTCTTAATAGTCAGTCTTGCTAATTAACGTCTTGTTATAATTTAACTTGTAAATGAGTAACATTTAATAAAAAATTATAAATATCTCAACATAAATCTGGTTATAGGAACAAGTAATAGGTTAGCTAACCTCTTACAATAATAATTTTGGTAACAAGTGTTATTGATATTGTTATATATATATGTGTGTGTGCGTGTGTGTGTGTGTGTGTGTATTTTGTATTTATCAATATTTAAAGAAAAACTAAATATATTTCATAGGTGCAGAAATATTACTTAATAATAAACTTAAGGATTATAAGACATTTGCACAAATGATTAAATTCAGACAAAGTGAAGCAAAAAAGTCTATTATAATAAAGATATCTGAATTCAGTCATATTGAACAACTTAAAAAATTTTGTGAATATCATGCAAAGATTGTAAATATTTTTCCTTATAATACAATGAATAATAATGTAAGTACAAATATTTCTGAAATTTTTAGTTTTTTGTTACAACCTTTTATTCAAACACTATAATGCACAATTTAATGAATTTGCTACATAATTACAGTTAATGTTTTATGATATGATTTATAGAAGTTTGTGTTAGTGGAATGTAGTTCGGACAAGGATATTGAAGCTCTTAGAAAAATAGCTATCTGTAAAGCAGATCCAGAATGTGCTCATTCTGTGACACCATTATTCTTATATAAGCCACAACATAAATTATATACAAAGCAGAACACATTGAATAAAGATAGTTATGAATATCATTCTAATTTCGAAACTCCAAGTTTAGATAAAATCAGTCAATCGCTGAAGAAAATACAATCTGTAATGTACTGAAATATTAAATTAATTGTAAGTTGTATGTAATGATAGAAAATATTTCTTTAATATTTTAGGTGTCAAATCAAATGATATTTCTCTATGATACATTAAGAATTACAGAATTAAACATAAGACTGAGGTTCTATACTGCTACACAAATTTCATATTACTTATCTAAATTATTTATCAATCTATCTGTGATGCCGTTTGGTTCTTCTGTTAATGGATTTGGTCAAATAGGATGTGATCTTGATTTACTATGTAAAACTAATATATCTTCTAATGACAAACCTGTAAGTACAAACAAATATTGTATATATATATATATATATAATTTTGTAAAAACTTGCTTTTTTTTAGGGCTTCAAACATTTTCTTTTTATGACACGAACTGTCCCTCTTACAGATAGAAATGAACAAAAACAGTTTTTAGATGTAATAGGTACAATAATAAAAACATGTATTCCTGGTATCACTGATGTAAAAAAGATTCTTGAAGCACAGGTTCCTATAATTAAATTGTGTAACTTAAATACAAATATGCAATGTGATCTTAGCAGTACAAACATGTATGTAATAAATATTATTTCCTATTATACTACTTTTTAATACTATTTATATGATTATTTTTAATAATATTTGTGTAGGACTGCGTTACACATGTCCGAGTTGCTATATTTGTATGGACAATTAGACTGGCGCGTTAAACCGCTTGTCTTCACCATTCGTAAGTGGGCAAGAAGTATGAATTTAACAAAAGAAAATCCAGGTCAATGGATAACAAACTTTTCTCTTACTTTGTTAATTTTATTTTACCTACAAACGAAAAACGTATTACCTTCTTTAACTTCAATAAAGATATTCATCAATGGTAAGTATGAACGTTCAAATAATTCTTCATATTCATTTATTATACTGCATTTGTTTTTTCTCTGTTTGTAGACAACGGACTCGACAATTTTAATTGGTTTTTGAAATGGAAAAATTCTGTGTCCAATAACGATGAAAGTTTATCCAAACTTTTACACGAATTCTTTGAATATTACAGTTTTTTTGATTTTAAAACGCAAGGAATTTGCTTAAGAGACGGAATTATCAAGTTGAAAAAAGATATGTCACCTCTTTATATTTTTAATCCATTGAACCCATCATTAAATGTCAGTAAAAACGTAACGACTTCGGAATTGATGCGTTTGATAGGACATTTTCAAAGAGCATTTCAAATAATGTTAAATTCAACCGAACAAGACACAATTGTAAAACTAATTAATCGCGATTCAAACTCGGCAATTAATAATGAATTTAACGATAAAAATAAATCAAAATTTATTAGTGAAAAATTTATTCCAAATGTTACCGATACTAGTAACTTGCAAAAAATAGAAAAGAATATAATAAAATAATAGAAATAAATACATCCTTTTAAGTTAATTTATTTGTTTTCTAATTTTTTTTTAACTTTATCTGATCATCAAACAAATTGCAACAAAAATAAGAAAGGAGACTACTGTATTAAAAAAGAGATTCTAATAATGAAAAGAAAAAAAATAGGTATGTAAATTTATGTATCATAACTAATAACAAACTGTACATTTTATATATATATAATATATAATTTATATATATATTATATATATATATATAAAATGTACAGTTATGTATATATATATATATATATATATAATACTT